AACTGAGTTACTTTTGAGAGAAGTAACTAGTAATGTAACTAAGTTACTATTTTAAAGTAACTTACCCAACACTGGTCATGAGTATACAACATACCTGGTTTATTTTCACCATGTAGTACCTGCCTACTAAAATGGGAGTGATTAATGTGGTGAAGGAGTGATTTCAGACACAACAGGAGGACATCCAAGCAGGTCATATTGATGTCCTGTGACTGAAATATTTCCTTTTCACATAATTTTCAAATTAGGCTTGTATTACTTGGTGCTGCACACCGGGTAAAAGAAAACATGAAAGTGTTGTGAAATTTACCATGTGCAGGCTCAGCATCTGCCACTGAGGCTTATTAATCAATTGAAAACCTTAATTTGATACGAGAGAATTTCATTTGACCTTTTCCGGGCGTGAGTGGGTCTTGAATGATAAGTTCTCATGAAAGAGCATATGCCGATAAATCCCTCCACTTTCTCCTCCTGTTTGTTGCCACAGTTAGGGGAGATAGTGGCGGTGGCTGCAGCATACTGATCAAGCATTGGCTGATTACACTTAAAACTCACGTCAAGATCTATTTGAGTTCAGCTGAGACTTTACATGAAGGAAAGCGTTTGTGTGTGCACAGTTTAGAGAAGTGCAAGCTGATTCTTTGTTTTATTTTCTGACAGAATGGGTTCAGCTTTTAAGTAAATGAAAATTCATTTATTCAAGTTAAAGAGATTCTTTTTAGAGATTCCCGGTGATGTTTCAGCCTCAATAAAACACATTATTTAAAATGTTAAGACTTAAGTCTGAAAGCCACTCATACTCCATGCGATATAATCTGCCATTGTCCTCTCCTGTATACTTTATTTCTTCAAGTCTCATTACATCGTCTGACCTGCCTCTTTCTCTCTCTTTTTTGTGTTTTCATTTTTACAGGGATGTTATGAAGAGACGGGGCACAAATTACATTGGATGAGAGCCAGCTGTGGCAGGTATGGTGTGCTACACTGACCTCAGCTTCCTGTCCGTTTGTCAAATTGCTGCTCACTCATGGGTGTAGCCTGTTTCTGGTTTTAAAAGGGTTTCCATAATAGGCAGACACAGTGGTGGTGTATTTCAGAGCTTTTTGCTGGAAGAAAGCCAAAGGGAGTTGAGAATTGAAGTCTTGAATAAAACCTATTGTTGCTTCTGAGGTTCACCGGGCCAATCTTGCTGTTTGATGAAGCAGAGGCTTTATCACCCCTGCATGCATTTAAGTCTCTTGTGTTCTCTTTGTCTTCAAAGAGAATGACTAAATTAATAATTGAAGAGAAAACACGGTGTGTGGTGCCTCCCAGTATATCAATTTCTTTCTCAAGACATTCTTGTCTCCCTGTACTGTGGGGCCAGAAATATTAATGCACTGCATATTATAATGATGCATATATGGATAAAAGTACAAAACCTCAAAATGTTACAAAACAAGTGCAAATGTATTTTGTTACTATTTGTAGGTAGAAGTTTACATTACTTTCTACTCATCAAGTGCATGAATTACACAGTGATTTTGGGCTTTTTCTTTGATTTCTTTGAACTGTTCTTTTTCAATGGTCAAATAGCATACATCTTTAATGAATTAAAAAAAAGAATTTGGTGCACAAATTTGAATTTATTTAGGATTTTCTCTAACACATGCAGGGTAAAAAGACTTCAAACAGCTCAGATATATGCTACACCCTTCTACAATGTCCTTTAACTTGACCAATTCGGCCAAGGCTTCTTAACTTAATTATAACTGACTACATCTGGTAGCTTCTCTCAAAGGTATAAAGGGTGATATTTACCTGTTTTATTCATGTTGTGTCGCACAAATCTTTTGCTATATAAATATTTTACCATTGTCACATCCAAAATCCAAAAGTCCATTGAAGTCATTGAATCTACAGCAATATAGTTCTAGCAAATTATAATAATGGATTTATTTGCCCTTCTTTAAACACATCACAGACTCATACAGGCACCCCTCTAAGAGAGGTGCTATCAAAGCTAAATTTCGAGGAGCAGGTTTAAATCCTGAAAAGTAATTTGTTTCGATGAGATCTCAGTCATCCTAGGTGATAACACTATCCTAAACCCAATTTTTGGAGAAGGCCAAAATAGATGTGGTTTTTTTTTTGTTTGTTTTTGTTTTGTTTTTAGAAAAAAATATTAACATTTATTGATTGGTTTCAGAATTATTCTCCTCTAAATGCACAGTAAATTTAGTGGATTAAAATTAATTTCCCCATGAAAGGTAGTAAGGTGGAGTATATTGGAAAAACGCATCTAAGCCCACAGTTTGTAACTGTAAATTTTAACTGTACTGTATTCACATTTACAATACTACTACTGCAGTAATAATGCGTGAATGTCATCTCTGGGGCGATCATAGCTCAAGAGTTGGGAGTTCACCTTGTAATCGGAAGGTTGCCTGTTCGAGCCCCGGCTCGGACAGTCTCGGTCGTTGTGTCCTTGGGCAAGACACTTCACCCGTTGCCTACTGGTGGTGGTCAGAGTGTCCGGTGGCGCCAGTGTCCGGCAGCCTCGCCTCTGTCAGTGCGCCCCAGGGTGGCTGTGGCTACAATGTAGCTTGCCATCACCAATGTGTGTGTGAATGGGTGGATGACAGGTTGTGTAAAGCGCTTTGGGGTCCTTAGGGACTAGTAAAGCGCTATACAAATACAGGCCATTTACCATCTCATGGCACATCTGAACATCAGGTTTGTTCTATACCTTTATTTTGCAATCTGTCTGGTGACAATACAAAGGTCTAGATCAAGGCTCTTGCTTTGAGTTCTTACTACTGGGCTGTGCACTAAGTGAAAGAATGAGGAAAGTCTTGTAATAAGAAAAGCAGAATGCTTCTGAGTGCACTGAAGTGATGGGAAATATATGTTCCCATCTGTTAAGTACTCAACAGATGTAAGTAGTAGTGCTAAATGAATGGAGGCAGTTGAGTTAGAAACATCTTAAAGTGATGATACTTCCTTCAATGTTCATTTTGTTATTAGCCATCATAACCATGACACTTTGTCTAATAATTTTCATTAAGTTTAAATGGTTATGGTGTAATTAGTCATAACATAAGGATTTTAGTAAGTGATGAAATTACTTTTAATGTGGCTTCCTTGCAAAATCAGTGTGCTGCCCTCTTGCCATCACTGTTTCCGCCTTGTGTCGTTTTAAAAGAAAAATAGGTTTGAGATTGAAAGCTTCTTCAGAGAGAGAGAGTGCAGTAACAAACAGAAAAGACTGGGAGGAAATATAGATGCTAGTAAATGGCGTCACTTTAGAGACAATGTGAGGTTTATCTGAAGTTCACTTTCCTACAGTTTGGAGCTATGTGAAATGGGGAGCTTTTCCCCATCTTCAGCCATAATTGTGGTGAACTAGTCCATACTGTTATTCACACTGGGTGAAATCAAGGCTACCTTTGACCAAATAAAATAACTGTTGTCAAATATACAGCCAGAATTATTCCAGATGCTTGTTGATGGAAACCAAAACTGTCTGAGTGAAGTGTGAAATACTAAAGAACATTTAGCCAAATATTAGTGGGAGTATCTATATATACTTTTGAATCTGTATGTATAGTTTTGACTTGAATGAAATTAAATCCAAAATAAAATCAAACTTGTGCACCTAATATTTGCTTTTCAAAATCATTAAAGATGTATGGTGCGCAATCATTTGACCCTACAACAATTCAAAAAAATATTAAAATCCCAAACTTACCGTGTCATTGGATGAATGTCTGAAAACCTCAACTATAAGCCAAGGAATGAACCAGTTTGTGCCTACACATAATAGACAGCTTAGCATAGAAGCTATTTAAATGGCATCTTTAAGCAATTTGTTAGTAGCACCTTGTGGCAAAAAATCTAAACAAATTTGTTGGTATTCATTTAAACACAGAAAAAATAAGACATAAAATAGTATTTTTGCACCAACAGCGTGATTCCCAAAGAGCTATTAGCCAAAGACTTGGCTTATCTCAGCATGGTGTGCAGTGTGTCATTAAAAAAAATCAGAGGGAACTAGTCAAATGGAAGAGAAAGGAAAAAGATGCAGACCTAAATTATTTACAGCAAATAAACAAGTACCTGAAAAATAAAAAGTAGTGATACCAAACACACTGTCTATACAGTAAAAGAGTAGCTGGATAAGAAAATACACTATTGGAGACAGAGAGCAGAAGAAAAGTAAACCAAGTTCCAAAGAAGAACTTTAGAAAATCCTTAAAGACGCATGAAGAATTATTCTTGAAGGCTCCCTAAAGAAGTTGCAATGAACCTTACCTAAGAAATTTCAGGTACTGAAGAATAAGTGGTATTTGTATAGCGCTTTTACTAGTCCCCCCTAGGGACCCCAAAGCGCTTTACACACCCAGTCACCCACCCATTCACACACTGGTGGAGGCAAGCTACAGTTGTAGCCACAGCTGCCCTGGGGCAGACATAAGTATTTAAAATCAGTTAATTATGTTTACTCAGTCAAACTATTTATTGGTGTTATTTGGTTATTTAGGCAACTGTATTCATT